CAGTGGCGCGATCTTGGCTCACTGCAAGCTCCGCCTCCCGGGTTTACGCCATTCTCCCGCCTCAGCCTCCGGAGTAGCTGGGACTACAGGCGCCCGCCGCCTCGCCCGGCTAGTTTTTTTTCGTATTTTTTTAGTAGAGACGGGGTTTCACCGTGTGAGCCAGGATGGTCTCGATCTCCTGACCTCATGATATGCCCGTCTCGGCCTCCCAAAGTGCTGGGATTACAGGCTTGAGCTACCGCGCCCGGCCCTCTTTGCAGTTTTTTTGAGGATCCTCTGTACTGTTCTCCATAGTGGCTGTACTGGTTTACATTCCCACCAACAGTGTATAAGACTCCCTTCTTCTCCACATTCTCACCAGCAATCGTTATTTTTGTCCTTTTGATGACAGCCATCCTAACTGGGGTGAGATGATACCTCACAGTGGTTTTGATTTGCATTTCCCTAATTATCAGTGATGCTGACCATTTCTTTCATATATCTGTTGGTCATTTGTGCGTCTTCTTTTGATAAATGTCTTTTCGGATATGACTGCTTTTTAATAGCATTGTTTGTCTATTTGCTGTTGAGATGTTTGAGTTCCTTGTATATTCTAGATATTAATCCCCTTTCATGTGAATAGTCTGCAAACATTTTCTTCCATTCTGCAAGTTGTCCTTTCATTCTGTTGATTATTTCATTTGCTGTGAGGAGCTTTTTAGTTTGGTATAATCCTATTAGTTTATTTTTGCTTTTGTTGCCTGTGCTTTCGAGATCTTATTCATAAAATCTTTTCCAAAACCCAAGGTCCTGAAGCACTTCCTCTACATTTTTTTCTAGTAGTTTTATTGTTTCTGGTCTTATAGTTAGCTCTTTGATCCATTTTAATTGATTTTTGTATGAGGTGAGAGGTGGGAAGTCTAGTTTGAGCCTTCTGCATGTGGACATCCAATTTTTCCAAAACCATTTAGTGAAGAGACTGTTCTTTCCCTAATGAGGGTCTGATCTGAAGGCCTCTTCACTGACATGTCTGGTGCCTGGGCTTGGATGGCTAGAATAGCTGGAATAGCTAGAGGCAATTTGGAGCTCTCTCTCCACAGACCTCTCTAAATGGCTAACTTGGACTTCTTCACAGAATGGCAATTTCCATGTAATTGGACTGACAACTGTCTTTTCCTATAACAAGCATTCCAGGAAACCTGTGGTAAAGATGCAAAGCTTATCCTCAACTCAAAATCCATACACAGTTATTTGTACCATTGTTTACTGGGTGAAACAGTCACAAGCCAGCCCAGATTTAAGGAGGTGAAAAAATTGACTCCATCTTTCAATGACAGAATGGATTGCATGTTCAGGAAGTAAAGGAAGTGATGGTGGCCACCTTATACACATACAGACTCAAAGTGATTAATGCTTTCTTCAAATGCCATCTCCATCTCTACCACATAAAGTGTGGCTTTCCCTAACACATACGTTTTCTCTTTCTGTCTTTTTTTCAGTTGAAGATACTTTCTAAATTAACAGTGAAAACAGTAAATGTCTGTGTACTCCTTGCTTCTTTCCACAAATTAGGATTTACAATCACATCCAAATTTAACTCTCAGCTGTGCTGTTCCATAGCAGTGACTTGAGCAAATAACTTCTCATTAGAATGAACTCTCTGATACCCAGTGCCTACCATAAAACTTAACATATAAGGTTATCGACTAAATAACTTTCTAAGTAATCTCTTTGAGATTCCGTTATTTCCTCTATGAAATGGGGATAACAATGCCCACCTCACAGTGACGAAGAAGTAAATGAACAATTTAATGTTTGCAAACACTTAGCGCCTTAATACAGTACAATACAGTGAGATTATCACAGCTATTAGTATTATTATAGTTAGTATTCTTCTCACTATTATATCATTATAATGTATTGTAGATGCTCCTCCACTTATCTGTCACCACAGTCTAAAAACTTGTTAGACACCTTCTTCAACACCTGGATCTCATTTATTTTCTTTACCCTATCCTTAGTCACTATTTTAATGGCTTCAACATTGATACTGGGTGATGCAATACACATATTTTTTCATAAATCCTACACCTTATCAACCCTGTAATAATATGCTCAAGTTTGCTTTAGATAAACAAAAACCAACTTCTTACTCAAAAACCATCCTACCTCTAAATTCACAAATCTGTCAGTTTTCTCTTGCAACACTATTCTTACTCTTATATTTTCCTCCCATAACAATCCAGTCTCCTGGACTCCCTTCTTTTATTCTAGTCTGTCAGCCCCATTCTGGCTTCATCTGACTTGACTCCACGGTTACTCACAGCATTGTCATATTTGATGATAAAAAATATCAGAATTACAAACTCCCAAGCCTGAATGGATGCTACTGACTACTTTCCTGGTCTTGGTCCTGACTTTCCTATCTTTACTGAATTGGTCAGTTTCACTTCAAAATGATACCGTCTAACCAAACTTGAACTCTAGTACTATTCTAGAATCTTTGTATTTTCTCTTCATTGCATCCTTCCACTTTTATCATGTGCTATTCCAAAACTTTCCTGTTATCCTCCAGCCCCCAATCTAATTTCCCCCAATCACCCTAACTTTTGTAGACAGTCTTATATTCTTAAGTTTAAAAAAATGAGTACCTTCCAAAATGAGCTCTCTCAACTTTTCCCCTTACCATCTCGAAAACTTTAGTTATTTTGCTGTTTCTTCCTTCATTTAACTTAGAGGAAAAAATTGTCATTTCTTCTCAAGATTGCTCTCTAGACCTTTGCCCACAATCCCAACTTTTGGTCACCTTCCTGATAGAATAGTCTCGATCTTCTATATCTTTAGTATCTTGCATCTGCTGGTGGTTCTTCTCAGCCTTGATTTTAAAAAAAAAAACAAACAAACAAAAAAACATTTCATTCCTTATTTTCTAAAAATGTAATTTGCCCCAGTGAGGCTTTTAAACTCTTTCTCCATCTTACTGAACCTGTATTGTTGATATTCTGTATTCAAAAGTCTTCACCAACTCCTCCATCTGTTCAGCATGCAACCATTTCTTGGCGTTTGGCTCATATCTCTTAATCAACAAATCCACATAGCACTTGCTACATAAAGACCAACTCAGAAAATACTTAAAATACTTAAGTTTTTGACATTCAAAATAAAGCATTATTGTAACTTTAATTGTCCATACAATGGACTGAAAGAACTGGCATTGCTTTGTAGCCACTAAAATATAAATAGCTGTGCATTTTTAAAATACTATTCAAAATCACCACTAGAAATAAAAATATAATGGCACATTTCTCCTCAAATCTGATTATAATTGGCTCTTAAAGATGAAGTCCGTATGCACACAGATTAGTCAATACTATTCTATACCATTCTTTCATAATCAAAAGGGAATTAATCCTCTTTTACTCACGACTTCCCCACTCCAACCAAGAAAAAAAGGAAGCTAATCACAGATCACAGTCTCCTTTGAACTCCCTACAGAACTTTATATATGCCTCATGTCTGGCATATGTCCTTACCTTGTCTATACTATCATTATTTCAGAACCTTTTGTATCTCCCTTGTTAGAATCTAAGCTATGTGTACTTGATAGTACACATCAGAGGGCTTGTATATGGTATGTTCTCTGAACATGAACATTAGCTCTATCCACTTGTAGTATTTTAGTAAGTATGAGATTTTCTTTGTCCCTGATAGCATTGCCTGTGATTTTCTGTTGCTGCCTCTGTAAACTGTGATTGATTTCAGCAGCTGCATTTGATATTGGCATTCACATCTTTGTATTTGTTTCTCATTATTTTTTTTCTTTTTCTATAAAATAAAATGCTAATTGGTAACTGCCTCTGGGCACAAAGTATCAGAAAGAAATCAAATCTACAATTAAGTTTCCCCCAGAAATCCTAGACTCCAACTTGCATCCATGATTTTTGTTGTCAATTTTCATTACTAAATTCATATTTCATTAAGATGATTACATAGTTTGATGGGCTACATATTGGAAATATAATTTCTCATGGCTCCTGATAATACTCTGTGCTTAACTTTATCCATTGCCTTTGACCTATAGGTCCCCCAGGCCCACCTGGGATAGTAATTGTTGAGGAAATCACCGAAAGTACAGCCACACTATCCTGGAGCCCAGCAGCTGACAACCACAGCCCAATCTCCTCCTACAACCTTCAAGCTCGCAGCCCATTTTCGCTGGGCTGGCAAACAGTAAAGACAGGTAAGAGGCACTAATGCAACATCAGATATAACCAGAGTAGTCTTCTATCTCATAAGCCGTATTTGGCTAAGTTCTTACTAGGGTCTTCTTTGTATTCTGAAATCTCTTTATTATTTATTACAATATTGACAACTCTTTGCTACTTTTTATGAACCTGAGAAGAGCAAGGTACTTTGCTTTCCTCTTTTCAGTTCCCAAAGAGGGACCATATCATGTTGGCTTATTTGTTTGTTGAAATAACCTTAAATTCACATAGAAGTTGCAAAAATAGGACAGAGTTCCTGTGGATCCATTCCCCAGCTTCCTGCCATGATAAAAGTCTTACATAACCATAGTACAATTACCAAATCAGGAGATGATGTTGGTGAATTGATGTTAACTAAGTTTCAGACCTTATTAGGATCTCACTAGTTTTGATATGCAATTGTTTTAGTGTATACTTATACGAGATTCTATGAAATTTTATTATGCAGACTCAAGTAACCACCGAGACAATCTGGATATAGATCAATTTCATTAGCTCAGTTCCTTGTGCTACTCCTTTCTAGTCATACATCTGTTTTATTTATAAAAAGAAAATCTAGTGGCTGGCAAGATGGGTGAATAGGAACAGCTCTGGTCTGCAGCTCCCAATGAGATTAATGCAGAAAGTGGGTGATTTCTGCATTTCCAACTGAGGTACCAAGCTCATCTCACTGAGACTGATTAGACAGTGGGTGCAGCCCATGGAGGGCAAGCTGAAGCAGAGTGGGGCATTGCCTCACCCAGAAAGCATAAGGGATCAGAGAACTCCCTCCCTTAGCCAAGGGAAGCCATGAGGGACTGTGCCATGAGGAACAGTGCACACCAGCCCAGATACTACACTTTACCCAGAGTCTTCACAACCCACAGACTAGGAGATTCCCTCAGGGGTCTATAGCACCAGGGCCCTGGGTTTCAAGCAGAAAACTGGGCAGCCATTTGGGCAGACACCGAGCTAGTTGCAGGAGTGTGTTTTCATACCCCAGTGGCTCCTGGAACACTAGTGAGACAGAACCATTCACTCTCCTAGAAAGGGGCTGAAGCCAGAGAGCCAAGTGGTCTAGCTCGGCAGATCCCACCCCCACGGAGCCCAGCAAGCTATAAGATCCACTGGCTTGAAATTCTTAACAATCTGAAGTTGGCCTGGGATGCTTGAGCTTGGTCAGGAGAGGGGTGTCCACCATTACTGAGGATAGAGTCATGTGCCTCCTGACTGGGACACAACTCCCAGTAGGGTGTTGTGACTGACACCTCATAAAGGAGAGCTCTGGCTGGCATCTGGCGGTGCCCCTCTGGGACTAAGCTTCCAGAGGAAGAAATAGGCATCAATCTTTGCTGTCCTGCACCCTCTGCTGGTGATGCCCAGGCAAACTAGGTCTGGAGTGGACCTCCAGCAAACTCCAGCAGACCTGCAGCAGAGGGACCTGACTGTTAGAAGGAAAACCAACAAACAGAAAGAAATAGCATCAACATTAACAAAAAGGATGTCCACACAGAAACCCCATCTGAAGGTCCAAAGACCAAAGATAGATAAATCCACAAAGATGAGGAAAAAACAGCACAAAAAGGCTGAAAATTCCAAAAACCAGCACACTTCTTTTCCTCCAAAGGATCACAACTCCTCGCCAACACGGGAACAAAACTGGATGGAGAATGAATATCACGAATTAACAGAAGTAGACATCAGAAGGTGGGTAATAACAAACTCCTCCAAGCTAAAGGAGCATGTTCTAATGCAATGCAAGGAAGCTAAGGACCTTGAAAAAAGGTTAGATGAATTACTAACTAAAATAACCAGTTTAGAGAAGAACATAAATGACCTGATGAAACTGAAAAACACAGCACGAGGACTTTGTGAAGCATAAACAAGTATCAATAGCCAAATCGATCAAGCCGAAGAAAGGATATCAAAAATTGAAGATCAACTTAATGAAATAAAGCATGTAGACAAGATTAGAGAAAAAAGAATGAAAAGGAACGAACAAAGCCTCCAACAAATATAGGACTATGTGAAAAGACCAAACATACGTTTGATTGGTGTACCTGAAAGTGACAGGGAGAAGGGAACCAAGTTGTAAAACACTCTTCAGGATATTATCTAGGAGAACTTCCCCAACCTAGCAAGACAGGCCAACATTCAAATTCAGGAAATAGAGAGAATACCACAAAGATACTCCTCGAGAAGAGAAAGCCCAAGACACATAATCATCAGATTCACTAAGGTTGAAATGAAGGAAAAAATGCTATGGGCAGCCAGAGAGAAAGGTCGAGTTACCCAGAAAGAGAATCCTATCAGTCTAACAAGGGATCTCTCTGCAGAAACCCTACAAGCCAGAAGACAGCGGGGACCAATATTCAACATTCTTAAAGAAAAGAATTTTAAACCCAGTATTTCCTATCCAGCCAAACTAAGCTTTATAAGAGGAGAAATAAAATCCTTTACAGATAAGCAAATGCTGGGAGATGTTGTCCCCACCAGGCCTGCCTTACAAGAGATCCTGAAGGAAGCACTCAATATGGAAAGGAAAAACAGATACAGCCACTGCAAAAACATACCAAATTGTAAAGACCACCGACACTATGAAGAAACTGAATCAACTAACAGGCAAAATAGCCAGCTAACATCATAATGACAGGATCAAATTCACACATAACAATATTAACCTTAAATATAAATGGGCTAAATGCCCCAATTAAAAGACACAGACTGACAAGTTGGATAAAGAGTCAAGACCCATCAGTGTGCTATATTCAGGAGACCCATCTCACGTGCAAAGACACACATAGGCTCAAAATAAAGGGACAGAGAACGATTTACCAACCAAATGAAAAGCAAAAAAAGCAGAGGTTGCAATTCTAGTCTCTGATAAAACAGACTTTAAACCAACAAAGATCAAAAAAGACAAAGAAGGGCATTATATAATGGTAAAGGGATCAATGCAAAAAGAAGAGCTAACTATCCTAAATATATATGCACCCAATACAGGAGCACCCAGATTCATAAAGCAAGTTCTTAGAGACCTACAAAGAGACTTAGACTCCCACACAATAATAGTGGGAGACTTTAACACCCCACTATCAATATTAGACAGAGGAACAAGACAGAAAATTAACAAGGATATTCAGGACTTGAACTCAGCTCTGGACCAAGCAGACCTAATAAGCATCTACAGAACTCTCCACCCCAAATCAACAAATATGCATTTTTCTCAGCATCACATCGCACTTATTCTAAAATTGATCACATAATTGGAAGTAAAACACTCCTCAGCAAATGCAAAATAATGGAAGTAATAACAAACAGTCTCTCACACCATAGTGCAATCAAACTAGAACTCAGGATTAAGAAACTCATTCAAAATCACACAACTACATGGAAACTGAACAACTTGCTCCTGAATGACTACTGAGTAAATAATGAAATTAAGGCAGAAATAAATAAGTTCTTTGAAATCAATGAGAACAAAGAGACAACATACCAGAATCTCTGGGACACAGCTAAAGCATTGTTTAGAAGGAAATTTATAGCACTAAATGCCCACAGGGGAAAGGGGAAAATATCTAAAATCGACACCCTAAAATCACAATTAAAAGAACTAGAGAAGCAAGAGCAAACAAATTCAAAAGCTAGCAGAAGACAAGAAATAACTAAAACCACAGTAGAAATGAAGGGGATAGAGAAACAAAAACCCCTTCAAAAAATCAATGAATCCAGGAGCTGGTGTTTTGAAAAGATTAACCAAATAGATAGACCACTAGCCAAATTACTAAAGAAGAAAAGAGAGAAGAATCAAATAGACACAGTAAAAAATGATAAAGAGGATATCTCCACTGATCTCACAGAAATACAAACTACCATCAGAGAATACTGTAAACACCTCTGTGCAAATAAACTAGAAAATCTAGAAGAAATGGATAAACTCCAAAACTATACCCTCTTAAGAATAAACCAAGAAGAATTTGAATCCCTGAATAGACCAGTAACAAGTTCTGAAATTGAGGAAGTAATTAATAGCCTACCAACCAAAAAAGTCCAGGACCAGAAAGATTCATAGCCTATTTCTCCCAGAGGTACAAAGAGGAGCTGGTACCATTCTTTCTGAAACTATTCCAAACATTAGAGAAAGAGGGACTCCTCCCTAACTCATTTTACAAGGTTAATATCATCCTGATACCAAAACCTGGCAGAGGCACAACAAAAAAAGAAAATTTCAGGCCAGTATCCCTGATGAATATCAATGGAAGAATCCTCAATAAAGTACTGGTAAATCGAATACAGCAGCACATCAAAAAGCTTATCCAAAATGATCAACTCAGCTTCATCCCTGTTATTCAAGGCTGGTTCAACATATGCAAATCAATAAACATAATCCATCGCATAAACAGAATCAATGACAAAAACCAAATGATTACCTCAATAGATGCACAAAAAGACTTTAATAAAATTCAACAACCTTTCATGGTAAAAACTCTCAATAAAATAGGTACTGATGGAACATATCTCAAAATAGGAAGAGTTATTTAGGATAAACACTCAGCTAATATCATACTAAATGGGCAAAAAATGGAAGCATTCCCTTTGAAAACCGGCACAAGACAAGGATGCCCTCTCTCATCATTCCTAGTCAACATAGTATCGAAAGTTTTGGCCAGGGCAATCAGGCAAGAGAAAGAAATAAAAGGTATTCAAATAGGAAGAGAGGAAGTAAAATTGTCCCTTGTTTGCACATGACATGATTGTATATTTAGAAAACCCCACTGTCTCAGCCCAAAACCTCCTTAAGCTGATAAGCAACTTCAGAAAAGTCTCAGGACACAAAATCAATTTGCAAAAATTACAAGCATTCGTATATACCAATAATAGACAAACAGAGGGCCAAATCATGAGTGAACTCCCATTCACAATTGCCACAAATAGAATAAAATACCTAGGAATACAACTTACAAGGGATGTGAAGGACCTCTTCAAAGAGAACTAC